TATTCAGATAAAAACAATATTAACATTGGAATACTTTACATTATCTACTTCATTATAGTTTATTTATTTACATTATACTGGTAGATTTATTTAAACATTTTATATCTGCATCCATTGCTAGAGCCCCTGGCTGTATTGTCTCATGGAAAACAGTTTTATTTATATCTTTTATGTAAATAGCCTTTAAATATAAAGGCTTTGACACACTGGGCCCAATTCTGTACCCGACTGGACTCTATTATGTTCTCACACTGGTGTCAATCTTGAAGAATTCAATTGAAGTCAATGGAATTACACCCGTGTAAAACCTGAGATCAAAGTTTATACGTGGGCTTAATTTTAAGTGCATGAATAATTCCCTGGGTTTTTGGTTGTAGCTGTGTTGGTCTAAGGACATAGACATGCAAGGTTTTTTGCATTGATATGATATGTAAGTTGGTCTAATAAAAGATCTCACATCTACTTAAGGAACCTTGTCTAAATAATTCTCTTGACTTCAGGCACGTAGTACATATTTTCAGGACTGCTGTCAGGATTCATTTTAGGAGTTGCCTTTGGAATCTTTGAACAAACACCTTTTTCTTGAAATTGCTTTGAGAAATATATATTTTTAACCGGTTTTTTTTAATGGGTAATAAACATTGTAACTAATTTTTGGCAGGAAGGATTGACTTATTTTTGTGATTTATTTATTTTCCCTTGTCCTTAATTTTTTTCCTCCTTAGTTTTTTCCCACCCAGTGTTTGCCTGGGAAAATAAAGTAATGATATGATACCATTAAAATCTCAGTCTGACAAATACATACAACCTGATCTGGTAAAGACATACACATGCACTTAACTTCATATATGTTAGGTAATTCCATTGAAATCAAGGGGACTGCTCGTGGTGCAAAGCCATTGTAGAATGTTACCATGAGTTGTCTCATCAGAGCGAAGAGTCAGTGGCAGTATTATAGCACTAGAAAAGTAAAGCACTAACAGTAGTGTCTGAAATTGGGGTCTACATTTGTTTTTAAAGTGGCTGGTGATTTTGAATGTTTTGATATTTGGGTGCTCAACTCTACAGACCTTAAAAACACATGAATTTCAGAAAGTGCTATATTTTCACCCTCTGAAAATCTGGTCCTTTAAAATTGCTTCTAAATGACTTAGTTTCTTTTAAAAATGAAGTCTAAGTCATTGTATTCCAATGGGAGTCAAGCACTTCAGTATCTCTCAGGATCTAACTCTTAGGGTCCTTTAGAAATTTTTATTCCATATAAAAGGACTGCAGAATCAATTTTTCTTTTTGCAGAAAGCCAATGCACTTTTTAACTTCAATAGCACTTCAAAGGGGTTTGGCCGGTGTCAGCAAAATGAGGAATACTACCCACAGCAACTAAAATCTTTTTGCCTCCGGAAAGACTCAAAGAAGAATGTTACACTTAAAGAAAAAAAAAAGTAGTGGTAAAGGAGAAATGGATGGAAATGAAGAAGGTAATTTCAAGTCTCCTAATGAAGCCTTCCACTGGGCGTTTCTACACATGCACATTTACTTCACAGTAACCAAAATTACTGTGCAGTATGGGCATGCATTTACATGTGCACGCCCATATTGCACAGTAATTTTGGTGACTTATACTGACTTGAGCATAAATTTGAGCATCATGTAAGTATCAAATTTAAGCCCGATTTGTTACTGTGCAGTAATGAACATGTAGACGCCTTACTGTGCAGTTACAGTGTGTGTGTGGACTGACTGTTCCCAAGTCAGTCCACACATAGCATTAATATGCTTTAATGCCTACATGTGTAGATGCCAGCCTATTCCCGCTTACATCTCAGTAAAGTAAATTTAAACTGGTGTAAATACGCATGTAGACATGCCCACTGCCTATGAAAAGAATCTCTATTAGTTTAGACACAAACTAAATCAGCCCTCAGATCAAGCCATTTCTGAACTCTGGGAATGCCTGGATCAAGATCAGAAGTGTGCTGGTGGCTCTAACATTTTTAACAGTCAGAATCAAAACTCTGAGTCCAAAGTACCCTTCACTTTGGAGGAGTTCTGAACCTCCCCTAAAATCTGTGATTTTTGCCCTTCCTTGATTTTTAAGATTGTTGTCATAGGGTAGATTTATTAAAAGCACTCAGTGGGCACATCTACACCTTCATTAATGTACCTTTGATACTGCTCATTTAGTTTACTACTTCCTTAATAAAGGACTAACTAAGTGTGCAGTACTCAAAGTTACTGCATGTTAGTCAGTGCATGGTTATTTAGTGACACTTACTGCACATTAGCCTAATAACACTGCTCAGTAGTCTATTAGCATGGTTTTTGCTGTGACATGCTACCGCACAGTGTTATTAGGCCAGTGCACAGTCAGCATCTCGTGTAGATGCGCTCAGTGTTAACTTGATTCTATTGGAATCAATGATAGAGCTCCCCATAGCAGCAAAAGGAAAGAGAACAATGTTTAACACTTTTGAAAATCTCACCCCTAATTACCAACAAATGTTCAAACATCCATAGATGCAAGTCAGAAACAATTCAGACAACCTTTCTACCCTTTGAAAATGGTTTAGAAACCTCAAAAAAATCAGACTTCCTTGTGAGACTTCTGACACTTCCTGTTACTGATCAAGTTAGCAAGGGAACATAAGCTCAGAAGGCCACATTTGCCACATGTGAAGATGGGAAAGGGATTTTCAACAGTCCTAAGTGACTTTGGTAGCCTTTGGTAGTCTGGTCTGTCCTAGGCGGGGAACTCAGAGTAGATACTTGGGGGAGTTCTTACATTGAGAAAGATAGAAGTAAAGACCCTACTGATGACAAAAAGTTCTAGAGGCCTTTTTGAATGTTGCCTGGGTAAGAACAACTTTGGGACCTACATGGAGAAGATCAAATTAGGGAGGTTTCCTAAAAGAAAGGAATCTTCTTAAAGGTGGATTTGAGTGTTTGGTATTCTGCAGTCAGTGAAAACTCAGTCTGTAGAATAACATTTCCTCCACAGCACTACTGACATTGTAGAAATGGCATGTTCTAGTTCAGAGATCAGATTAGGCTTTTATGATTACAGCAATATAGTCTAAATTAAACGTGTCAGAAAACTAGATGAGAGGGGGAAATAATGAAATAATAAAATGACTTGGAGTCTGCAGTGAAGGGGGGAGACCAGTGCTTGGCTTAGGGCTTTGTTTTAATGAACGCTATTTGACATGCATATAACTGATGGCAAAAGTGTACCCTGATCATATTCTGCTTTTATGACTATAATTTATGCTTATTTCTTGGAGGTGGCAGAGGAAGGGCCAGATTGTTCTGGCCTTTGATAGCACAAGGCCAGGGGCTGATCAGCCAAGCACTGCTATTTCATGAGTTTCTCCCTCTGCTGAAATAACAGACCATAATCATCTATAAAGAGGAACATTTTTGAAGAACTATCCTTCTCCAATTCAAAATCTTTTTTCTGTGTAAATGCTTCCCTGCATTCATTTGCTACCTTTTCCACGTTCTAGGAGTCTGAGAAATCTGAACTTGATAACAATTCCACTCAGTTATGAGCCATTTAAGCTGCTCGGGGTCATATGGTGCATGGCTGCAGTGATGAAATATGTTAGTTACAAATACATTCATAGTTGGTTAACATTTTTAGGCCTGGAGAATTGATCAGATGCAAGAGATGGTCTGAAGGCAACGTACATGTGCAGAGCTAGGAAATACTATACAAATGTACTGGTTTTGATAAAAAGAAGAGGCGGTGGAGGAATTTCTTCCCAAGGTACCTGGAATCCCTCTTATTCATTTTTTGAAACTGTACATCAAAACAGGAAAAAAGTTTTGTTAATTGTTGCATAAACACATACTTGCATGTGTATACTTGTGCAATTACAAATTTGCATGAATTAACTGGATATGTTCTACATAAGCATTTTGAAAGCACTTTTTGTGTTTGGAAGTTACCCAACTAGTGAGGGGGAAATAAAAACATCTTATGACTTATGCGATCAGTCACATGACACAAAGAGTAAGTTATGCATATTTTTGGATACAAACCATTCATTAGATGAACCTGAATAATAAAACAATTAGTAAAATTTGAATTTTGCTTGGGGATAATCCAAATACAAAAGGGAGCTAAATTCACTGTATAAATGGGTTGTTATTAATAGTTTACCCGGCTCTACTCAAGTGATTAAAACAAACACAGTCAGTTTAGAAAAGGCTTACACCAATAGACTTGTAACGATAAAAGATCTGATCTTTCTTTACTTTTCGATATCTGCTGGTCCCATTGTTATAGGAATTCAATTTCTAGCAAACATTTTTCAATTATTTCACACATATAGACAATTTAGGACTATCTTTGTAGTGGGTCATAACCAAACTTTCTCAAATATGGGAATTCAGACAGCTGGTCACAAAGTTTCACACATTAAATGTGGGCTATTCCTTCTCTAAGACCCTGATAAGCAAGTTTGATATTCATTTATGTCCTTTTAAAACTGGACTGGAAACAGCACTAGAACTTGCATTGTAAGGGACTACTCTTATATTGCACATGATCCAGATTATTATTAATTTAATATTTGCTAATATTGGGGCCTCTCGTGGCCATGTTTGAGATCAGGATGCCGTTTTTTCTGGGCAGGATATAAACATTTAGCACTTGTCCCAAAGAGCTAATGATTTTAATACAACAATCAAATGGAAAACAAAATCGCACATAAAGCCAGTAGCAGAAGGTGGCAGAGAGCACAGGTCTCTTCCATCCCAGCACAGTACTTTGACTTCTGGACTCCACTTTGTCTCTTCCCATATTTTCTTCTCATCTGTACATTCAATGATTCTGTTGAAGGCTACTCACAGATTTAAAGTTGCTATAGTTGTAAAGAAAGCATTAGGTATGAGTCTTGACTGTTAGTTTTGGAAAGAGTAGCTCAAAATACTATGTAAGTAAGTAGTTCAGATGAAAAGATGTCTCAGTCTCCCCATGATAATCATTTTGGCCAGCTTTTTCTTTGCATGGAAGATAGCAGATTAATCTCAACATGGAACATTGTTTTTAGAGTCTGGTTGGGATTTTGCCTGTTTGTTTTTATGTAAGGTTGCTTTAGGGAATCATTGCCTTGCTTGTCGGTTATTTGATAGTCTCATTCCTGCCAGACAGTCTTGTAATAATAGGTGGGTTTTTTGTTTTTTATAGCAGGGCAATCCCACCCTGAGAAAGTTCAGTGTCTTACTGCATCTATCAGGATCATGCTTTGCAGTGTTTTTTGATTTCATGTTGAAAGTTCCTTGTTTACCCTAGTGATGAAGTAAAATGTGTCAATTTAAATAAGGTATTGTCCAGAGTCAAGTTATTGATGTTCTGAGCCGTAATGAGGAAATAAGGCAATCCTCACATTATATTAATTACTGTACCTGAAGACCCCAAGAACATTTTCATTGGGAAGAACAGCAAAATCCAAATACTGGTACTTATCAATTTGTACTGATATTCGGTCATTCACATTTAGGTACTCCAGAAAAAGTTGAAAGAACTCCTTGTAAATCCTTTTAGAGACCTCATTTGATGTACACAGCGTGTCTATTGTTTGCCTTCTGGGATCACCGTTCACAAACATCTGCAGTTTTATGTCTATTGTGTCGCCTGAGCAGTTGTGTATATTAAAGTTCAAGTGGCAAAAGATCAAGTAAAGGCCCTGTGTCTGGATCACTGGAATCCCTTCGTGGATCTGGATATCTTGACGAACACCATACTCAGTCCATTTCAGCTCTGTGTTATTTGGTTTTAATGCTAGAAAGAAAAGCAACTGCATCATTGAATGAACTATCAGGAACCCACAGTCTGAGAGATACTAATTAAACACTGAACTGAGAACTTGCTGGACTCATTTGCTGGTAAATAGTGGCCATGTATTCTGTGGATCTCCATAGGAAACACCAACAGTGGATCCTCCCTTACCAGTCTGAACCAGGCAGCTCCCCTCCATGCTATGGAGATAGCTAGGAAACCCACCCAGTACAAACTAATGCAGTCAAGATGTTTCTTTGAACTTTTGGATTGCAAAAGAATAGCAATACAGATATACATGCATCCAGCTTTTGTGTTCATCAACATTTAAAGACTGGTATTTCTCATCACCAAAAAGGATTCATTCTTGGTGGGTAGGGGTGTAGATAAACTCACACCCCGCAAATGTTTCCCAAAACTGTATCTCTCCTCTCCACCCCCTTATTTCATCCACTTAATCGAACAAACAAACAACCCCAAACAATTGTCAATACAAAATGTTTTGATGGAAAATCTTAAACTGGCTTTATAATCTTTTTTATTTGTTAAAAAAGCTTGTGTTAGTCGGGCTCATTCACTGACCTCTCATGTATGCAGCAGCCGTCTTAAATGGAACATTCTTTAGGATTCTTAAAAAGAGTTCTGAATCATTTCCTGAAGGAAACAAAAGAGTAAATAATCACTCTGTTTTCATTTCCACCATAAGTTTACTACTCATTTTTATTCACTGTCATCTTCTATGTCACACCATCATAATCAACTGTCAGTTCTCCTCCCCAAGTCAGACAACCAGTTTCCATAGTCTTCAACACAGTTTTACTCCTCTAGGTTCCAGTTGTGGTATATGCATGCTCAGTTTTGTAGTGAAGTGGACAGATTCTTCCTTGTTTCAACTCCACTGAAATTAGGGGAGCTGCAGGTGTAACCCATATTTGCAACGGCGCTAGACCCCATACAGTTTGAATTCTCATTTGGATTCTGCAGCCAGCAGGCCAGGGTCAAAGTGAAGGAGGCACATGATTAAAACACTGGTTTCAGAGGTGGAAGACCTGGGTTTAAGTCCCTGCTAGGGGCAGATCCAGGGATGAGGTGGAAGAGCAGTCACACCCCTCCTTCTACTACTGCTGTTCCAAGGCACCCAGGGTGTAGGGGGAAGCCCAGATCCACTCCTGCCCTGCTCCAGTTACAGGCTGCAAGGAGCCGCTGTGCAGAGAGCAGAGGTGGATGCACAGCTTCTACTTTCTAGGGCCTGCTCTAAGCCAGCAGGGGACACCTGGGGAGGGGAGAGTTGCCAACTCTGACTGAAGCTATTCTGGGAGATTTTTCCCCCCCCAACATGACATAATGTAATTAATTGTACTGTTCAGCCCGTTCACAATATCACTCTCCTAGATTGCTTTCAATAGTCACCAGGAGATGGATGCTGATTCCAGTAGACTCCCAGCCGATCGGGGAGGGTTGGCAACCCTAGGGGAGTGGGGAAAGGGGGACAGACAGGGAGCAGGCACTGGAAGGAGGAAGCTGTGTGCCACCACCACTGCCCCTAGTTAGGCATGGTGCTCCTGTTACAGCTGCCCCCCTCAGCTGTAGCAAGGCAGGAGGGGCTCTGGGGACAGTAGGAGTGGTAGGTAGGTCCCCCCTATCATGTGTCTGCACCATGACCAGCTCCCCAGTTTTCCCTGCCAGCTGGGGGACTCCAGCCATGCATCACCTCCACCCCTCCACAGTAGAATGGTAGTGTGTCACACGCCCTCTCAGGAAATCCTAAATCTGCCCATGGTCCCTGCTCCAATGATTATTTCATTATTTATACAAAGTTATTAATGAAGTACTGCTCTTTCATGTAGACAAGAATATACTTATGTAAATGGGACTTAAGTATCTCAAACTGGGATTCTTAGGAAAACAGTAACTTACATTTTGTAATTAGGGGAGAAAAAAGGTAGGCTCAAAGATCCGCATGTGACTTTTGTTGACCACTTAGACCTGAAGGCTGCTGGTGGTTATACCAGACAATACAATTTTAATTTTATAGAAGTGCTTTCAAACATAGTAATAGTGAAAGAGGAATTGGGATTCACAGTGCAAGCACCTTAAACCAATCCAGAAACTGAAGCTGAGGCAGAATGTGTCATGGGAAAAGTCAGTGAAATCCAACAAACTGTGCTTGAGAATTTTTACTCATAAGACCTTTGGGTGCCCTCCCTTCTACTTCCATAAACCACTCCTTTGCCATCAATAAACCAAAATTTACTTTCTCCTTATTATCCTATCCAAAACCACAGCTCTCTCATCATGATGGACCAGTACATAGAAGGTGGAAGACGTTAAAGGACTGACGGTAAAGAGGACAGTAAACTTTTCAAGGTCTATTACCCAGTATAAATGTTGCAGTGGGTTCCTAAATTGTATTAGGTGATTCTTCCCTTCCTATTTCCTTTTCCCATCATCTCCATCATGCACAGTGTGTTTGGTTCTTTCATGATGAGGCAATGAGAAATGGATGCTTTACAAGCGTGATGCAGCGCTACAAAAGTTACGCAACAGAGTTTTTCTCATGAATGCTACTGGAGATGAACCAGACGCTGCAGCCTAGAGTACAGTATTTCTTTGGCCCGTTCCTGAAAAGCAGGAGAACAGATCCCCCTACTGGTTGAAGGGAGGTACTTGATAGCTGAGTTCAATCAATATTGAAATGATTGAATTTCACACGCTAGCCGTTTGAAATCTGCTGTTTGTAGGCTTAAACTCCCTTAACAAAAGACGCTTTCATGTATTATCCTCTTCTTGACATCTCTGCTAATTTTCATTCCTTTAAGCATGTAAAGCGGAAAGATTTTGCATCTCTCCTTTTTGTGTACCTGCTGTGAAAGCTTTTGTCACACTTGGGTGTAATCAACCAGGACAAATATTCTAGGAAATATCTCTCAGTGTATCATTAGTCAATATATCCAGATGGATGATTGCTGATTTCATGTTGCGTTGTCTGTTCTTTGTCTAGACCAGTGGTTTTCAAAGTGGCGTCTGCATACCCCCTGGGGATACATGGCTCTTTGCTAGAGGGTACATGCCTACATTTTATTAATACTAGTAGAGCTTCTGATTGATCAACATGCAACGAGTATTGTGTTGACTTTGGTGTCCATATCATTCCTAAGAAATGAAGAAGCAGGGGCATGTTGGGGGTAGGGGATACGAACAGCAATATTTTGCAAGGTAAAGGAGTACATGGCCAATTTTTTTTTAATCACTGGTCTAGATCACATAGAATTGCATAAGGCATAAAGAAAACACCTCTTGGTTCTAAGACGAATATGGAAGGAGTGTGTCTATTGGGATGAGAGTCAAGGTTCCTTTATCCTATGTTTTAATCTGACCCTATGGAGCTAAATTCTCCTGTTTTAAGGGAGCTGTGCCGTTTTGTATCAACAGAGAATTTGGTCCAAGATTTGCAACCTCACACAAGTCACTTAAATTGTCCAATGCCTTAACTTATCCTGGGTAAAGCTGGCATATTTTTTTTTTGAGGATTGTTATAATATTGCCAAGCACTGTGTTCATTTACAACAATATTAAAGCTAGAGTAGCTTCACTGCAGTTGATGTAGTTACTTCCACTCAGCCTTGCTTTTAAAAGATTGTAGAATTATAGAAGATTATCAGGGCCTGGGTCAAGTGGGGAGCAACTGAGTAGGTATCTGTAATCCTAGTGACTGACCAGGTGTATACATGCATATCCTTCAAGGGTCAGGCAGGTTATGAACATATGAATGAATGTAATGAAATAACACTAGACAGAAAGACAGAGGCTAAAAATTTTCAAGCAGTCAAAGGGAGTTTGGGGCCTTTTGTACACAGACATTTAGTGGGATTTGGGAACCTAACCTCTGTAGAACGCATTGGCCATTCCAGTCAGAGGAATAAATCTCACATTATCAGATGTTACTCTCACTGTTTAATGCAATTGTGGCAAGTGTTGGGATCTACCAGTCATATGTTCTCTTTAAAAATACATGCAGTATAGAAAAAACTCCTTCTGAAACATATTTTATACTAACAATCCTAATAGGATTAGATCTTTAAAATGTTGCCTAGCCTGCAGAAGGGAGAACAGAATTTGCTTTTTTCAGGAACTCAGTAGGATTTACTTTACAGAGCAAAAGAGAAAAAAGCCACAAAATACAAACCAAACCAAACAAAGAAGCAACACCCCCCCCGCCCTCCAGCTCCCAAACACACAACCAAAAAAACAAAACAAAACACACACAACCACAAAAACCCCCCCACTGCTGCACAGCTTGACATTTAAATCTCCATCCCTGCAAGTTCTGCTGAGCCGGCAAAAAAAAGCTGTCTTGACATAAATAACCTAATCTTTCAAGGAGCTGTGTGTTTCATGAGTTATATTCATCTCTCACAATCAGCTCTGAGCTGAAGTGACTGTACCTTTTGCTTGCATGCCTGAACTTGCCTTCATTGACGTCAGCAAGTTTTAAAAGAAATATTTATTTGGTGACATCAGCTGTAGTTCTGAGAAAACCAGGTATGGAAAAAGCAAAGCCTAGTTGTAAATAAGCATTTCCTGAGCTTTGGTGGCTGGGCTGGGGCTGCTTGCAATCACTTTCCACTTTTGCTTCTCTTGTTAATTGTTCTGGTTCACATTGTAAATTAGCTGTAAGGAAAGTCAGGGGACATCTGTGATTGTAAAACCAATACAAGGATGTTCAACATTAGGCAGAGATCGATGTGCACTTTCAAGCCTCTGGCCATATCCTCTTCCTGCATTGGTTTTAAACCAAAGTAAATTATACTAAGCCGAAGGCCACAGTCTGGGGCTAAATGTCGAAAACCTTTGCAAGCTGCATTCATGTCCTGTTCAATTGACAGAACTACAGCACACTGCGACAGGGGGAAGGAAGCCCTAAATGGAAGCCATATCTAGTATTTCCAAAGAAGCTATTTATGTCAGGAGAGTCTCAATAGTTGTACTGCCATTACTACAATTGCTGTGATCAAGTTAGATGCTAGCATTCAAGGGAATCACTCCTCAGGGATGTGATATCTACCTGCCAGGTGCAGCTCTTTCCAGACTACCTAAGGCTCCCTATTTGATACACCCAACAGATCTGCTATGACACGGCCATCAGCTAAAGGGCAGCTTCCTTTGCACTGTTGTTGAGTACAGGACTCAGATTTCACCAGCTGCACAAGAAAAAGGCTGTGTTACGGAGGAATGTGGTGTTACTCAAAGTATGATTTGAGTGCTGTAGTAGCCATGATAGTTCAGGAAATGTCTGGGAGGCAAGGCCTTTTTGTGATGTCTTTTCCTGGACCATCTGCGGGATGGGGAGAGCTGTTGGACAAGCTTTCAGGCATCAGGTGTCCTTCATCAAGCCATGTTATTCAATAGAATGCATCTTCAAAGTAGGAAGAATTTGAAAGCCAGATATTTGCACGTGCATACAGCTACTTGCACAGAAATGTAAACCGAGTCACCAGACAGCTGATTAAAAGGCAGCCGCAAGGTCTAGTGGAAAGAACAGGATACTGGCACACAGGAGTGTAGCTGGGCAACTCTGTAACATGTGGGGCAGCACCGGCTACTGCCAGGCCAATTGCAGAAGTGCAGTCAGACGCCACTGTGGTCACAGCTTG